GATGCGGGGCTCGATCCCAGGACCCTGGGACCATGACCTGAGCCGAAGGCAGACGCTTAACGACTGAGCCACCCAGGCGCCCCTGCATCATACTTTTTTAAGCAAGCCTCATTATTGAATATCTAGGGGTGGTCTCCAATCGTTTGCTGTTATAAATAACCTTCAATAAATAATTATGTGCACATTATCATTTGGCTTTGGGGCCAGGGTAGTCTTGGAGTCATCCGACAAAGACAAATGCTGGGTCAAGGGATGAATGCCCATACAGTTTTAGTAAATTGTGTCTGATCCACTTCAGATTGGAGGTGGGACAGTTTTATGTAAGACTTCGGAAGGCCTCGCCTTGGTATTCCTTGACTTATAGACAGTTTACCCCAGTCTCTACATCCGCCATCCTGTGACAATTTTTCCCTCCATGTGCTGTATGCTGATTTCTACTTTTTTTTTTTTAAGACTTTTTTTGTTTGAGAGAGGGACAGAGAGCAGAAGCAGGGGGAACAACAGGTAGAGAGAAAAGCAGGCTCGCCACTGAGCAAAGAGCCCGATGCGGGGCTCGATCCCAGGACCCCGGGATCATGACCTGAGTGGCCCTGTCATGGTACCTCTTCCATATCTTCAAATGCCTTCTTTCCAAATTGGGTCCCATTCAGAGGTCCTGGGGGTTAGGATGTCGGCGTATCTTCGGGAGGGGATGCAATTCAACTCATAACAGTGCCCCAAATGGGTGTGTTGTTTCAGGACTCCGTGACCTTCACAGACGTGGCCGTGAATTTCACCAGGGAGGAGTGGGCCCTGCTGGACTCTGCGCAGAGAATTCTCTACAGAGATGTGATGTTGGAAAACTGCAGGAACCTGGCCTCTGTGGGTGAGTGTCCTACCCTCCCACACATATTCGCGGCCGGGACGAATGGGAGTCAGACCCCCTCCTGGGTTCCCAGAGCTGTGCTGAGAAATGGGACGGGGGAATTGCTGAATAACCAAGATGGGGCCACTGTCCCCAAGGGGTGGACATAGGATTCACCCCATGAAACAGGAAATCTGTCCGTTGCATTACATTTTTATTCTCTTCATGATTAACAGCCCTCGGGAGATCCTTAGGTGGGTGAATACGGAGCACGGAGTTTCAGTGCATTCATGAGGAAAACGGAGGGACCCCTTTGTTGCTCCATACTCACACTTGCTTAGCTCCGGAACCCCTGCAGACCAAAGCATGTGCCCCTGTTCCATGGAAAGTGCTGGCACCGCTCCCTTGGGCCATGCGCTGTCCCATTCCCCGGTGACCGGGATCTCAACTGGGCAAACCTAGTCTGGTCTGCCATTTGGAGCAAGAAGCGGGTCTGGGAATGGTGCAGGGGAAATTTACCTTGTGCACCTGCCTGCCAGGCAGACGTGAATCCTTACGAGGAAGGATTTAACAATGTGGCAGTGTTGATGAAGAATCCATTTCATCCGTGTGCAAAACAGCTGTGGCTCCTCAAAGAGTTAAACACAGAATTACCAGGTGACCCAGCAATTCCACTCCTTAGTATCTACCCACAGGAGTTGAAAACAGATGTTCCAACACATACACGTGGAGGTGTGTTCATAGCAGTAGTGAAAACAAACCAGTTGTCCATCGACAGGTGAATGGACAAACAAAATATAGTCTATCCACACAGTGGAATATTACTCAGCCATAAAAAGGAGTGAAGCATTTGCAGTATGGGGACTCCTGGGTGGCTCAGTCCATTAAGCGTCTGCCTTCGGCTAGGTCATGATCTCAGGGTCCTGGGATCGAGCCCCGCATCGGGCTCCCTGCTCCGCGGGAAGCCTGCTTCTCCCTCTCCCACTCCCCCTGCTTGTGTTCCTGCTCTCGCTGTCTCTCTCTCTGTCAAATAAATAAATAAAATCTTTAAAAAAAATAAAAATAAAATGGATTCTTTTATGTTAAGTGAATTTCATTGCAATTTTTAAAAAATTTTTAAAGGTTTTATTTATTTATTTGCGGGGGAGAGAGCAAGTACAAGCAGGGGGAGAGGGGCAGAGGCGGAGTGAGAGGGAGAAGCAGACTCCCTGCTGAGCAAGGAGCCCGATGCGGGGCTCGATCCCAGGACCCTGGGATCATGACCTGAGCCGAAGGCAGCCGCTCAACCAAGTGAGCCACGCAGGCGCCCAAATAAATAAAATCTTTAAAAAAAACAACAGGTTGCAATATGGATAAACCTCAAAAGCATTATGTTAAGTGAAAGAAGGCAGACACGAAAGACTACATATTGTCTGATTTCATTTATATGAAATATCTGGCATGAGTAAAGCTACAGAAACAGAATGCAGATTAGTGGTTGCCAAAGGCTGGAGGGAAGAACAGGGAGTGGCTGCTTCACGGTCTAGAAGTTCTCCTTCCTTCCGGGGTGATGGAGATGTCCTGGAACTGAGGAGAAGTGCTGGTTGCATCACATGCCCAATGTCCTTGATGCCACCGAAGGGTACCCTTTATTTTTATTTTTTTTAAATTTTATTTATTTATTTGACAGAGAGAGACACAGCAAGAGAGGGAACACAAGCAGGGGGAGTGGGAGAGGGAGAAGCAGGCTTCCCATGCAGCAGGGAGCCCAATGCAGGGCTCGATCCCAGGACCCTGGGATCATGACCTGAGCCGAAGGCAGACGCTTAACGACTGAGCCACCCAGGTGCCCCGAAGGGTACCCTTTAAAATGGTTACTTTTAGGGCGCCTGGGTGGCTCAGTCGTTAAGCGTCTGCCTTCGGCTCGGGTCATGGTCCCGGGGTCCTGGGATCGAGCCCCGCATCGCATCGGGCTCCCTGCTCGGCGGGAAGCCTGCTTCTCCCTCTCCCACTCCCCCTGCTTGTGTTCCTGCTCTCGCTGTCTCTCTCTCTGTCAAATAAATAAATAAAATCTTTAAAAAAAATAAAAATAAAATGGTTACTTTTATGTTAAGTGAATTTCATTGCAATTTTTAAAAAATTTTTAAAGGTTTTATTTATTTATTTGCGGGGGAGAGAGCAAGTACAAGCAGGGGGAGAGGGGCAGAGGCGGAGTGAGAGGGAGAAGCAGACTCCCTGCTGAGCAAGGAGGTGGATGCAGGGCTCGATCCCAGGACCCCAGGATCATGACCTGAGCCGAAAGCAGACGTTTAACGGACAGAACCACCCAGGCGCCCCGCCCCTTCATCTTTAAAATTACACATGGACTCTGTCGTAGTCTGTTTGGGCTGCTGTGACAGAACACCACGGTCTGGGTGACTTACACACGGACATTTCTCTCTCACATTCTGGAGGCTGGGAAGTTCCTGGTCAAGGGGCCAGCAGGTTCGTTCCCAGCGAGGTCTCTTTCCCTGGTTTGCAGATGGCCACCTTCTCGCTGTGTCCTCACATGGTGGAGAGACCGTGAGCTCCATTGTCCTGCTCTTGTAAGGATGCTAGTCCCATCGTGGGGGCCCCACTGTCCTATGTCCTCTAAACCCAGTTACCTCCCAGAGGCCCCACCTGCAAATACCACTTGCAGGGATAGTTAGAGCTTCAACATACGGATTTGTGGGGGACCCAAATTCAGCCCATGACAGACTCTTTGTCCAGTTCTCTTCCGTGTGGCACCGCGTGGCATTCCTGATTACACCCTCGATCCCCACAGAACCCATCCTCACCACAGTCAAGCTCCCGACATGGCCCAAATCCCTGACGTCTTTCTGCTCGCTTGCTTGCCCTTCCTTCCCTTTCACGTCTCCCTCACGTATGCTGCGTGAACATTTGAAAAGAAACCCACATGGGCATTTGCCTACTTTAGCATCTCCAACCCACCTTAACTCTCAACAAACTCTCAACTTTTGTGTCCCTTTATTTCAGATTTGGTGACTCAACATAAAATGAAAAACTCAACCCCTCAGCAGGACATTCTTGCCAAAAAGACACCTGATGAAGCAAACAGAGTGTGTGCCGTGAGCCACAGTTCCCAGCCCTCCCCACTGGGGGAAGACTGGAAAAAATGCCACAAAACAGACGAGCCACCCAAGCAAAGGGAGCAGAATTTGAAGCGAGTTGCCGCTGTGCACGAGAAGGACGAGTCTCCGGTTATAATCTGTGAGTATCACGAAATGAGGGACAACTCTGTACCTAGCTCATGGAGAGATTCCACAAGAAACTATATCCAAAAATGTGGCTCAAGTACTGTGAAACAAAAGCCTGTCCTAACCAGTAATCAAAAGATCTATAGAAACAACAAAAATGATAGAGTCTTGCAGCAGAGCACCGAGCTGACCCCATTTGTAGGAAGTCAGGCAGAGCCAGAGTCCAAAATATGGACTGACCATCAGAACAATGTGCTTCATACACATAATAATATCTGCATGGGGGTGGACGTTCACGAATGGGATCCAGTTGGAAAAGCCTTTGGTGAAGACATTTCCCTTAGGGTATACAAGCCTCCCATTAAAGGGAAGACTTACGAGTCTAATCCGTGTGACATCACCTTCCGAAATAGCTCGACCCGTGATGTGCACAGGCAATCCTATACGGCAGAGGCAAATCATGAGAAGAATCAAGGTGAGAAAACCTTAGCCCACATGGCAAATTCTGACTCACACAGGAAGACGAAGACTAGAGGGGGAAAATATAAATGTCAAGACTGTAGGAAAAGTTACGTGTATCTGTCATTCCTTATGAGACATATGGAAATTCACACCGGAGAGAAACCCTATGAATGCAAGACCTGTGGGAAAGCCTTTAGATATTCCTTACACCTTAATAAACATTTAAAAAAGCACATTAAGAAGAAGCCCTATAAATGTGAGGAATGTGGGAAAGACTTCACCAAGTCTTCCAGATTTAAAAATCATCTAAAAACTCACAGCTGAGGGATGCCTGGCCAGCTCAGTTGGAAGAGCGTGCAACTCTTGATCTCAGGGTTGAGTCTGAGTCCCACGTCGGGTGTAGAGATTGCTTAAATAAATAAAACAATCTTAAAAAAAAAATAAAAATAAAAATTCACAGTTGAGAGAGGTCCTGTGAATGAAAGCAATGTGAGAAAAGTTTCATTAATTTTCTCAAAATACCAAGCACATAAGGACGTACTTGAAAGGAACTCAGGTCTTCCCTGAAGGACAGAAATGTGAGAATTCACACATTTACATATTCACATCTTGTGAAAGTAAGGTCTGTGGAAAGCTTTTCATCTTTCAGCTTTACGATTTTTTATTTTTTATTTATTACTAATTTTTTTAAGTAGGCTCCGTGCTCAGCGTGGAGCCCATCATGGGACTTGAACTCACAACCCTGAGATCAAGACCTGAGCTGAGATCAAGAGTTCCACGCTTGACGGACTGAGCCACCCAGGGAACCCCCTTCTTTCGTCTTCAGTAGACATTTATTCTCACATTGGAGAGAAACCCCATGAATCTAAGGAATATGGAAAAGCCTTCAATGTTGTCTCAGTGGAATCCCTGTCAGAACTCACACTGCGGAGACTCCTCATGGGAGTAAGGAATGTGGGAAAGACCTCTTTAAACACTCACCCCTTAAGTTACACAAGAGACCACGTGCTGGAGAGATACTGTGATTGTAATAGAAGAAAGCCTTCCATAAGATGAGTACATAGTTGGAGAGAAACACAGTAAATATTACGATTGCTGCTGTTACATTGTCTCATCCTTGAACTGGGACCAAAATTCATGATTTTTCAGTTTTTCTTCCCTAATAATCCTATAAGATGATGAAAATCCCTCTATATGCCCTTGCAGCTCTGCCATGTGAATTTCAATATGTAGTGGCTTCATTAGAATTTACATACAGATGGTCTCACCAACATGAAGCCCTATTTGAGCCCCATTTAATTCAGATTGGGGTTTAGTGTGCTCTGTGATAACATTTTTTGTCGGTGGTTACTGGTCTTGATTTGACTGCATTATGGTCAGAGTTTGTGGTCTTTATGATGCTAATACGGGACACATGTTCTGATGTTCTTTGCAGTCTCATGGGGCTGATTCTGTCAATTGCCTGACCATATTAATTTTTCTCATCGTCTGTACTAAGGGTACATAGACTTGTCTTTCCAGAGTTAGCACTGTTGAAGGTTTTAAAATGCATTTTCTACGTTTTCTCATAACTAATGATGGGTAGAGCTTACATCCTTGACAGAATTCACCGGCTTGGATTCCTAGAGAGCTGTTGGAAAGAGGAGAGAGAGTGTCACTCTTTTTCTCTTAACTAAGTTCTCTTTGCTCTCTTTCCCAGTTCCTCTCTGGAAATTGGACGAAATTCCCTGAATTAGCACAGCAATCTTAGGATCATTGGAATGAAGGTCATGGCCTCAGTAACACAACCCTCAAAACACAAGAGTCCTCACTCCCTTGTAGCATGTTTTTGGGTGTCCATGGCTGCAACAGACTACATTTCTAAACTTATTGCATGAAGTGAACCCCTAGTTTGAGTAAGCAGCATTTTAGGGGAGATTTTTATAACTCAAGAGTTAAATGCTAAATGATAAAACTAGTGTGGGGCCAGTGTTGCTTCCTGTGTGTTTTAAAACACTGAATTTCTTTGGTGTTGGCTGGGATCAGGGTCCAGTACATGTCTGAATGGGCAAGCTTCTTGAGTGTTTTAAATTCTCTTACAAACAAAATTTTTGACTCTTGATCTTTTACTGAGCAAGCTTGTAATACAATATCTCACTAGAGAAGTGGATTATCAAAGTCTTACAGCTTTGTCAATTCTTGCTTAATGTATTTGTAGACTAATGTTATTAGATGCATAGGAGTTTGGTCATTTTCTTTTTTACAAGGGAGTTTTCTGTTCAGTCATTTTTTTAAAATTTATTTGTGAGAGAACAAGTGGGAGGAGGGACAGAGGGAGAAGCAGACTCCCTGAGGAGCAGGGAGCCCAACTCAGGACCCTGGGATCACAACCTGAGCCAAAGGCAGACAATTAACCAACTGAGCCACCCTGTTAAGTCTATGTTTTAACCACCTTTTTTACTAACAGTTTTTTTTATTCATATAATAAGGATGAAAGTTTACGTGCCCCTCACTATGAGCAAGACTTTACATACATCATCACATTTATCACCACCACTCCATGAATAAATGCTTATCTCCCTCTTATAACTGAGGAACCTGAAGCACAAAAGGTAAGGAAACTTTCTGATGTTAAACAGCTTCTTTCGAGTTTCAAAGCAGTAGGTGTTTTCATTGTCAAGTTCAGGGTTTAGTACCCGTATTAATTTCCTGTTGCTCAGTGGCTTTAAACAACCCAAATTCATCATCTCACATTTCTGGCAGTCAGAAGTCCAAAATGGGTCTCACTGGACTAAAATCAACGTGTCCACGAGACTTTCTTCTTTTCTGGAAGCTCTAGGGAAAATTCATGTTCTTGCCTTCTCCGGCTTTTAGAGGCCACCTGCATTCCTTGACTCATGGCTCTTTCTCCTTCTTCAAAACCAGCAACGGTGGTTGAATTCTAACATCACATCCCTCTGACTCTTACGCTTCTGTAAGAGTCCTTCCTCTTCCATTTATAAGGACCCTTGCGACTACATCAGACCCACCCAGATAGCCCAGGATCATCTCCCATCTCAGGATCAGCTGATTAGCAACTTTAATTCCATCTGTGACCTTAATTCCCTTTTGTTATATAGGATAACATACAGGCTCTGGACATTAGAACATACATATCTTTGGGGGCCATTCTTCTGTCTAACCACAGTACATATATGAAATACCAAGTTTATTAACTGACCAAAGGAAACCTTCAAAACTAAGGTATTCTGGCTTTTGAGACTGTGCTGTTGTTAATCAGATACATCTTCTTGAGCATCTCCTTTAGGCTGAGGACTGTGGAAGACTCTGGGTCTATCCTGGGTCAGCAAACATTTTCCATAAAGAGCCAAGGAGTAAATATTTTAGGCTTTTCAGGCCACGTTGTCCCTGTCTCCACTGCCCAGATCGTCCATTAGAGTACAAAGAAGCCGTAGACAACACATAAAACAAATGGATGTGAAATTATTTATGGACACTGAAATTTGAATTTCATATAATTTTCACATATCATGAGATACTCTTCTTTTGATGAGATACTCTTCTTTTTCCCCAACCATTTACGAAATGGAAAACCATGCATAGCTTACAGGCCTGATTTGGGCCACAGGCTGTAGTTTGCTGGCCACTGGTCTAAAGGAAAGAACAAAACAAGCTTTTATCTCATGTTTCCTTGTGGATTAGAGAGATAAAGAGGCATGGCTCTTTCTATACTGATTATTTTTCTTAATTTTTAAAAAAAATTGGGAAATACGGCTCCCTAAAAGTAGATGAAAATGTACATACACAGTTAGAAGTCTTAAGAGCCACATACTCACCATCCAGGCCCATTACAAGTTTATTAAATGCCCTACAATACATGTCTATACCTGCAGGTGTTGCCTGCAGACCCCAAGTGGAGACTACTGTTGTCCCTATGAGTATGTATTCCCTTGCTCATCTTTATGTTACTGCCTTTGCATAAATCCCCAAATATATTTCTTTTTTTTTTTTTTTAAAGATTTTATTTATTTGAGAGAGAGCACATGAGAGGGGGGAGGGTCAGAGGGAGAAGCAGACTCCCCGCCGAGCAGGGAGCCCGATGCGGGACTCGATCCTGGGACTCCAGGATCATGACCTGAGCCGAAGGCAGTCACTTAACCAACTGAGCCACCCAGGCGCACCTCCAAATATATTTTCTGATTCTGCTTATCTTTATACTACATATGATGGCATGACAGTGAATATGTCTTTGTGTCCTGCTTTTTTCAGAGAATGATTAACTCAGGTGTTGGTTCTTTTATTTTCAGTGCCCTGTGGGTTTTTTTTTTAATTAAATTTTAATTTAATTCATTGAAGAGACCTTTGTTCATGTAACTCACCGTAAATATTATAAACATTGTTGCTAAAGCCAATTTTGATAAGTCTCTGGATGCGTTACTCTTGCAGGAGAACTGCTGGGTTGTACAATCTGCATATGTTCAATAGAAATAAGTATTTTAGGAGGTGCCTGGGTGGTTCAGTCCGTTGGGCGTGGGACTCTTGATCTCAGCTCAGGGCTTGATCTCAGGATTG